CTGGTCCCCTCGCAGCCCACGCGGGGCGAGGGGCCGTGGGGCGGGTGCGGGAGGCCGGCGCCACGCTCCCTTGTCATGTTAATACCGTGTGGAGCAGCAAGGCTCTCTCTTAGGTCCTCCCCGCGTCCACGGCTTGGAGATGCGCGCCCACTGGCTTTGGTATCCCCCGGCCCTCCTCCTGCCTCCTTGGCGCCCCCTTCATTTTTTTTCCCTTTTCATTTATTTATTTATTAGTGGGAAAAAAAGAGAGAGAGGGAAAAAAAAGCGGCAACTTTCTCAGTTTCGCACCAATTTTTGTTGACTTCTGGCCTCCCTCTCCCCTGCGATGCCTTCCGCGGAGAGCGGCGCGGCCGGGGCGGCTCGGGGACGGCGGCGTCGGCGCGGGGAGGTTGCGCTTCCCGGCGCAGCCCGCGGTGTTCCCAGCGCTCGGGCCTGTTCCGTGGCGCTCGGTGCCCTGTCCCCATTCAAATGCTGCCTTTGGAGCCAGTGTTTATGTTAATGCGCGGGGCTGGGGGGGGATGAAAGCGCCCGCCGCCATTTGTTCAGTAGTGGTAATTCAAACAGAATGCGGCTGTCATTAAGGCTTTGAGAGGGGGGTTCTTTGATAAGATCGCCTTGTCCGGCATTGTTTGCGGCTGTGTTCCCTATTCACCGGCTCTGGGGAGGTTTCTCTGATCAGCCTTGTATCTTTACAGGGTGCTTTTGTTGCGGTTTGCGGAGAGCTTACCTGAACAAAGTCAGCCCGCTGGCCATTAAGCACCTAGGGGGCAGAAACTCCCAGCTCTTCAGATCTCTGCTGGGCCACAGGGCCGGGGATGCAACCAGTTAAACGAGAAACAATCAGGGAAAAAAAGCAGGGCAGTTGAGGCAGTCATGCATGCTGGCCATGCATGCGGGCATTCTCCCGCGCTCTGCTTCCTTCTCATTGACTTCTTGGTTTTGGGGGGGCTGACATTGCATGGAATCCCTCCAGGGTCACCGAGAAGTCCGGAGCTTCAAGCGGGGCCTGTGGAGGCCCTGCCGGCCGCTCCCGAGGAGGCCCCGATGTTCCTGGTTATCGCTGGTTCCCTCCTCACTCCCGCCGTGCCCAGAATAGGGTTGTTCTTCCTGGTTTTCCTTTTTTATTTTACTTCCCCCCCCCCCCCCTCCCCCCTTTCTTCTTTTTTTTTTTTTTTTTTTTTTTTTTTTTGGCTTTAATTCTCAGCACATCTTCTTTCTGTGCGTAACATGACAGATGCCTTGGACTTGGTGGTTTTGCGGCCGGGACTCATACCCTGCTCTCGCCTCCTGATTACAAGCGACATCCCCGCAATTTTTGCAGCCTCTCCCCAGGGTCTGAGGCAGGGGTTAGCCCCGTTCTGTTTGCAGCTCTTCGAGCGGCCTCGTCCTACTCGCAGAGCTCCCGCGGGGGACGATCCGCCCGTTTTGGTCGCTCTTCTTCTCACCGTGCCCTTCTTCCCCGCAGTGAAAACCCGCACGAAAGACAAGTACCGCGTGGTGTACACGGACCACCAGCGGCTGGAGCTGGAGAAGGAGTTTCACTACAGCCGCTATCTCACGCGGAGGCGCAGGGTCGAGATCGCGCACAGCCTCTGCCTCTCCGAGCGCCAGATCAAGATCTGGTTCCAGAACCGGCGCATGAAATGGAAAAAAGATCACAAGTTACCAAATACCAAGATCAGGTCTAATTCCTCGAGCTCCTCGGGCAGCCTGCAGCTACAGCAAGGAGCTTCCCAAAGCCGATCCAATGGACCAGCCAGCAGCCTATAACTGTTCCGTGTGTGGATGAGAGCGTGTCTGTGGGTACGAGTTTGG